GGAAAACTTGAAATAGAAGGGTATTCTGATGCTGACTGGGCCGGTTCTATGTCTGATAGGCGGTCTACTACAGGCTATTGCACTTTCCTGGGAGGTAAGTTGGTGACATGAAAAAGTAAGAAGCAGTGCAGAAGCAGAATATAGGGCTATGGCGCACACCGCTTGTGAATTAGTGTGGCTAAGGAACCTTCTACAGGAGATAGGATACAACATTAATACTCCAATGAATCTCTATTGTGATAATCAGGCTGCAGTTCATATTTCCTCTAATCCGGTGTTTCATGAAAGAATCAAGCACATTGAAGTTGAGTGCCACTTTGTAAGGGAGAAGGTGCTGAATGGAGAGCTAGACACTATACATGTTAATACAGGAAATCAGTGGGCTGACATATTTACAAAAGGCTTGAGTCGGGGAAGAGTGGACTACATATGTAACAAGCTGGTGAGTATATCATATACTCCCAGCTTGAGGGGGAGTGTTAGTGTAGGGGTATTTCTGTCTTTTTACCTAGATTAATGTTGCTGATTTGTAATGTTGTGTTGGAACCAGTGCTCCTAACTTAAATAAGGGCACATATGTCTTTTCAATCAATTTTAATAATATAAGTTTTGTTTGGCCGACTGGGAGAAGGTGAGGTTGACACTTCCAGTTCAAACCAGAATTTCCCCCTCTCTTTCTCTCTTTCTTCCACCTTTCTACCTCTTTCTACCTAACCGATCTCAGACAGATAGAATTCTAAGGCAGGCCGAATCATAACACCCATCTATTATAGGAGATGGTGAACAAATTACAGAACCCATGAATATATTTTGTGATAATAAGCATTTGTCCATATTGCAATCTGTAGAAATACATAGGCTACTGTCTTATGTTACTAAAGAGGTGTAAAGTTGTAATTTTTTTTTGAACACACAAGTATAAATGCAAGAGGGTGGGCTCTCTTTCTATATTCTTGTTATTATAATAGCACACTTTAATGTTCTCTTGAGTCTATTTGGTTTGTCTAAGATGGTATCAGAGCTGTAGATGAGATCCAAGAGCCTGGTGTCTTTTAGGAGTTTGATTTCAGCAAGAAGGGGTTGAGTTCCTTAGAAGGGGTGATCTAAGGGTATTGGCTGTTGGTGTAGGGGTTCTCACTCCTTAAATCAAGAATGATTTAAAGTAATTTTTGAATATGATCAGAGAACCAATCTGTGGTGATTTCTATTTGTCCTATATTTTCTTTTCTGGTGAGAATTGGGAAAAATCAGATTTAGGTTTTCTTATCATAGGAGACAGCAAGAAGATGTTGGCTATTTGGGATCAATTGGGGGCCTAGGGATAATCCAAATCTTTTTTATCTACTCTTACTAGAAGTTGAAATCAGATTTTTTTGAGGCAGGTGGATATTTGGTGATTCTTTTTTAATTTTTCTTCACTGTATTTTACTTCCATTTCAGTTTCTTATCTTTTCTAGAGATTGTTGTATGTTATTTTTTGGTTGATTGCTCTTAGGGCCTGATTTCCTTGGTTTGGACTTGGTGCAAGTTGATTGAAAATGGCCTAAGATTCCTTCTCATCACTATCTACCACCACTTTCTTTTCTAGGCAGTCTCTAACCTAGGGATGATCATGGGCCGGGCCTGAGATGGGCTTAGCAGCTGTTATAAGGTCTATAGCATTGGCCTGGGCTCAGCTTAGCTCAGGTTCTGAGCATAAAACATATGCCTGTGCCAGGGCCTGGTTCTGGGTCTATGACTTTTTATGTATAAAACTTTAAATATATAATATTTTATATTATGTATCATATGCATGTAAATTACTTCTTTTTACTCATAAGTACTTGGCTCTCTTCTAGCAATATGACTATGTAGATCAACTAGATCATCGGCATCTAGGCCTTGTCCCAACTATATGGGGTTTCCATGTGAATCAACTGGATAAAGGGGAAACATATTTCTATATATTGAATTAAGTTACATACATTCATCTTCGAAGCTTTCTTAAGTTGCTCCTTTTCATCTTTTTGGAAATTTTAATGTAGTTTCGCTGATATTACACAAGTTTTGAGTGTTCTGGATAAACCATTTCCAGCTCTAGTTATTTGGTGGACATTTATCCTTTTTTAGTTGTTTATTGTGATTTAATTCCATTTTACAACATTGATGTCTTAGGTTGTGGACCTTACACATTTTGGTCGGATAAGAGGTACATTCTTCCACACTGGACTCTCTATAGTTGTACTAATGGTTTTTGAGTTTCTTTTATGAATGCTATGCCTAAGGTTATCAGTTAACCATATAAGTCATATATTATGCATGAAACTACCATTTTTACCAAAACAATAATCTCTATGAGGGCATTGTAAGGAAGGAATTGCAAGATTATTGTGTATATCTCCAGATCAAAAGTAACCATACTTAATTTGTTTTTATTTGACATGTCCTAATAAAATAAGAAATGCTAAAGTCATACAATTATTAGTAGCTCCAAGATTTGTTTGTGGGTTAGTCTGATGTAGGACAGGGTAGGGGTCCTACTAATTTAGGTTCTAGTGATGGGATTTGTGGGGTGAATGAGGGGCTGTAGGTGATTAGAGATGAAGAATATGGATGAAAAAGCAAGTAGAGTGCTTATTCTTCACGAAAGAACGAGAAAGAAATTAGAAGAGACAGGTGAACTCTTGTTTTCTGGCACTACGAGGGAAGTGGTTGTGGCGGTGGCTTGTGGAGAGAGAGAGACCTTGGCATGAGGTGGTGGGTAGTATTCATGGTTGCTCAGAAAATGGGTGGGATGCTAGAGTATCTCAGCGGGCAACCTTGGCAACACCGTGGAAAGCTATTCATGGCATTCTTCCTCAGTTTCCTGGTTTTGTTAGATATGATGTTTGCAATGGTAACTCTGTCCTCTTTTGGGAGGATACTTGGTTGGAGAGGCTCCTTTGAAGGACCTTTTCCCTTCTCTATTCTCCGTTTCAAGGTATAGAAAGGATTTTGTGTCAAAAGTTTTCTCCCCTATGATAAATCCGTTGGCACCAAATTGGGATTTTGGGTTTCGTAGAGGCTTAAGGGAAGAGGAAATTCTGTGTCTAACAAATTTTCTAAGCCTACTTGATACAGTGTCTGGACCCCTCTGAATCTGATAAACAGATTTGGAGACCCAGGCCGAATGGGTCTTTCTCATGGTTATCAAATCCCTTACTTAGTCTACCCCCAAACAGCCTTTCCCTCTTAAGGAAATCTGGTGCAGGCCCGTTCCCCCTAAGGTCATGACTTTTGCTGGGAGTGTATTATAGGAAAATAAACACATTGGATATTCTATTAAAAAGAAGACTTTTTCTCTGTTTCTCACCTTTTTGGTGTATTCTTTGCAGGTCACATGGTGAGGACTGTAACCATTTACTAATATCTTGTTCATTTACTGCAAAGTTATGGGAGTGGCTCTTCTCTTTGTTTGGGTGCAGGTTACTTAGGCCAGCTGATGCAAGTTTGATTTTTGATCCTTCTTTCTTCCTTTGGCATCATAGAAGAGGAAGAATTATGTGGAGGTGTGCAAGAGCAATGCTGATTTGGTCAGTGTGGGAAGAGAGAAATGCTAGAATTTTCCAAGAGAATGAGAGAAGCCTAGAAGAGCTGAAGGAGTGCATTCTAAATAGGGTGATCTTGTGGCTAAAATCAATGGAACTATTTCACCAATTCTCATTTAATGATATTTGGAGGAATTGGTTAGCAGTGGCAAATTATTCATCCTTAAAGACTAGAGTATGGGTTGGGAACCCCCTCCTGGAAGCTTCTTGAAGCTAAATTTTGATGGTAGCAGTCTTGGTAATCCAGGCCTGTCAGGGGTGCGAAGGGTACTGAGGAATGAGTATGGGAATTTGATTCTTATTTACTCGGGTCCCATAAGAGTTGGAAACTCTACTAGGGCGGAACTTCTAGCTGCTATCCCGGGAGTACAACTAGCAGTGCAGATAGGTGTGGAACACTTGCTAATAGAAGGGGACTCCAAGGTGGTAGTGGGTTGGCTACAAAACCCGGACTCTATAGTTTGGTGCTTTAAGAATGAAATTAAAAAATTCAATTAGCTGACAAGGAGTTTGACAGTGAGAATACAATGGATGGGGAGATCAGAAAACGCTATGGCTGATGTCTTGCAAAGCAAGGGGTAAAAACAGGGAAAGATTGTATTGAGATCAATTGTAGACTGAAACTGTTTTCTATCCTTTGTTTTATTCTTTCTATTAGGAGAGGACGCAGCTTGCACCTCTCAATGGGAACCTTGTAACTGCATTATTCTTCTATTTATCGAAAAAAAAAACCCAGAATTCACTAAACCAATCTTTATTTCATAAAATCACTCTTCTTTAATTCCAATTATAATGATTCTATTTATAGACTCAGCTTATTAACTCAGATGTTCCTTTACAGACTTGAATTTTGACTAGGAAACTGATCCAAACAACTTCTAGTTACTTTACAGTGAAGACAATCCATAAGTAACCCATTAAGACACTTACAGACTCCAACTCCTAAACAGCTCCACTAAAACTTTCCCAATCCCACTGAAACTAATTTAATTTAAAGACATCAGAAATTACTAAAATTAGGAAACCATGAGTTTATTAGAAGTAGTAATTACGATAATTACTATAAATAATAAGTCCAAGAATTACCATAAATAGTAATTTCAAAATCACATAAACCAAGTAGACCCCACTTTTAGTTTTTCCAGTTCTTCTCCCATAAATTTCCTTCAAGATGAGAATGAGGCCACAAGTCATTTTCAGACCATTTTTTCTTTTTCTTCAGATCTATCAGCTTCTTTTTGGGTTTCCAAAGAGGCTCAAACTGATCTAACCAAGTGAATGCTGCTTCATCGTAGTCTTTCAATTTTCTTTTTCTTAATTCACTTATATAGTTGTTCTTTTCTATTGGTTACATAATTAGTCATCTATATGTTGTTGGGTCTACCCAAAATTACAAAGAAGCCCAGAAAAGTTGTTGCCTCATGCGGTCATGCCCCTTACTTAGCAAAGGAATCAGCCATCTCATTTGCGGTCCTTCTAACCCACTTGAATTTAGCATCTATGCCTTTTGAAATACTTTCCACTTCCCTAAAAGCATGTATAAAAGGTCACAGGATATATCTGTTATAAATTTCCCATGAGATAATTAGCTTTGAATCCCCTTCCACCTCCACCTGTCTAGAACCCAGTTGTTTTGCTAATCGAAGGCCTTGCAACAAAGCTAACAGCTCAGCTTTCAGAGAACTCCCTAAACCATTAGTCCCTGAATATAAGAGCATGATTCTGCTTTCAGAGTTCCTGAATACACCTATTCCTTCCATACCCGGATTTCCAAATGAACTTCCATCAAAGTTTAGCTTACTATGTTGTCTTCTGGAGGTTTCCAAACCACCCTTATCTTGTCTTTTTTCTAGAGGATTGTGCCACCTCAGTCCAAGCTCTTACTATATCATTGACGGTGAAGATCTGAAATCTTTCCAATTACAGATAGGGGCATTTGTGAAGAAATATCCACTCATCATATTTGTCAAGGCACTAAATTGAGGTTGGGTGATAGGGGAGCATATTGTTGTAAAGGAGTCTAGTATATGATTATATATAAAATACTTGATTGAACAAAATCCAATCTGAAAGAGAGTGATGCCTTGCATAAAAACAACACATGGGAATTGGTGGATCCTTTTGCAAGGAAAAAACTTGTTGGGTGTAAGTGGGTTTATACTGTCAAATATAGAGTAGATGGTATTGTTGAGAGGTATAAGGCAAGGCTTGTATCAAAGGATTTTACACAGACATATGGGGTAGACTATACAAAGGCATTTGCCCCTGTTGCAAAGATGAACTCCATAAAGTGTGTCATTGTCCTCGGCAACCAACTTGCTGTGGCATCTTCTTCAACATGATGTGATGAATGCATTCTTGAATGGGGACTTGGAAGAAGTTTACATGGTTCAACTCCCTGGTTTTTGTGCAAATGGGAATGAAGGGAAAGTTTGTCCCCTCAAGAAGTCATTGTATGGTCTAAAGCAGTCACCAAGGGCTTGATTTGGCAATTTAACAAGGTAGTTCAGCAGATAGTGATCGGAATTGATCATCACCCTTGAAGACTTATTCTAAAGAAGAAGGCCTTACAACAAGTCCTGATATGGCATAGTGGTGGTACTTGGAATTTGGAATGAATTGAGCACCAAGGGTATTTTTGCCATTTTATAATTTTCTGTTGGATCCAATAATAGCGTTTGATTGCCTAGTTATAGTTTGTTTATGACTAAAATTTCAGAGTCATTGCATAAGTAGGATTAGAGTTATTGAGTCTTCTTTGAATTGAAATAGGATATGACAACTTAGTTTGAGTCCTACTAGGATTATTGAGTCTAATAGTTTGACTCCTTAGACTATTATGAGTCTAAGAGTTTGACTCCTAGGATTATTATGAACTTAGAGTCTATAAATGTGTATGGACATTTTACACAAAGGAAATGAATTATATTGAGTTTTCTTCAGCTTATGGTAGCTATGGTGAGTGATTCCCATGCCCTAGAGTGATTTTAGGTATTTTCTCTCTTCTTTCTCTCCCTATTTTCTCTCTTATTCCTTCAAGAAGCCATTATGGCCATCAACATCCATATAACTTTGATAAAAAACACCATTCAACATTCTCTAAGGACTAGAATGAAGGGATGAGAGATCCATCATATGGATGGCCGAACCCTGCAGGAAGGTTGGGCGAAATTTCAAAAATTTCTCTCTCCCACGTGGGAATCACATTCCTTATTTTAGAAAACTGCATTTTGAAGGATCAATCTTGAAACCAAACCGGACCAGATCTGAAGCCAAAAGGTAGGAGAGGGATATACCTGATACGGAGTAATAATAACTCCTAACGAAGGTGTTCACACCCAAGGAAAAAACCAAAGACTGCTCCCACTGAAGATGACACAGTGTGAGGTGGAGCAGAATCAGTAGGATGGCTCTTCAATAAGAACCAAATTCTTCTGCAAAAATGTAATGGAGGGCTGGTGAGCAAGACTTCAAATTACCTTTTCTACCAAAAGGTAATATCAAGAACCTTTCTTTATCACTCCCACAGGTGGAGATCGAATTGACAGGGGCGGCAAGAGCAGGAAAGAGCAGAAGGCAGGAGTAGTCAAACTGCAGATTCTTCTTTCTTTGTAATCTGCGA